CGACCAGCGCCCTCGTCTTCGTGTGCGGGCCCGTGTATTTTCCAAAGCTCTTGCGGCCGTTCGTTGCAGTCTTCTCCTTCGCAGGACCCTCGTGCTCTACCTTCAGTCGAGATCGACGAATGTCCACGTAGGCAGGCTTGATCACGGTGGAACAGATAGGGCAAGGCCCCAGAGCCTGGCCGGGAGGGAGCAGTCGTCTAGCCTGTTCCTTAACACCCTTAATGCAGGAACCGCAGATGATGTGGAAGCAAGGCGTCATGTAACCGAGAATGTCCTCCTGTCCCTCGGACTCGATGCTAGCGTCGTCGTTGGCTCCTAGCTTCTTCGAGCAGGCGCTGCAAGCATCCGTGTTCGTCTCCTGCATGAGTTCAAACATCTCGTATGCTTTACGATCAGAAAGGCCGGGCTTCTTGTCCTCATCGTCGCTGTCAAGGTCAATAGCCATGTCAGCAGTCATGCCCTGCAAGGCCTCTAAATCTTCCTGATTCAAGAGATCCTTGCCGTGGGCACAAAGGAGTCGAAGCCGGAGAATGGATCGAAGGATATGGATGTAGGTATGACCACCCAATGCCTTCTGTACGCCGTTACCCGAAAGCACCTTGACGCGATCTTGAGCATTCTTCTCGAAGAGATTATAAACCTCGCGCTCCTCTTCCGTGAAGTCGAGCTTGACAATGTGGTCGCTTCGGGGCGGAAGGTTGATCTTGTCCTTCAACCGGCGGAGTGTGACACTGTCAACAAGCACGCGGAGTTTCGGAACAATCTCCGTGTCACAGGCCTTGAAGGGGTCCACGATGAACCGGTTGAACTTGTTGCGGTCATCGAATGGCTTCAGCCGGACAAACTGAAGGAGAGCGGCCAAGTCTTCGAGTCGATTCTGGACGGGCGTACCAGTCACAGCCCAACGACGGGCGGCCTGAAGACGAACAATGGCCTTGAACTGCAGAGTCGCGACTTCGCGAATCATGTGCGCCTCGTCCAGCACGATTCGGAACCAACCAATCTCCTCGAGGGGATATTTGCCAGACTTTCGCTTGCTGCGAGCGCCTAGCTCACTAGAGACAGAGCCGTAAGTGGTGATGACCAAGTCAAACTCGGCCAATTTCTCGACATCTTTGATTCTATTCGAACCGTGATAGATATAGTAGCTTATCTCTCCCGGCGCAATGTGCTGCTTGATCTGCTCTTCCCAATTCGTGACCGTACTCAGGGGACACACGAGCAATGTAGCCTTGGCATTCATTGCGATGCCTGTCAGAGGCAAGGAGCTCGAAGCTGTTGCCTTCCCTCCAGCTTTCTGGGGTGGCATCTCGGGCTGGACTGGTGTGCGACCTGCCCATTCCTTAGCCTGATCCAGCGAGCTGGCAACGAGCGAGAGAATACTAAGGGTCTTCCCCAAGCCCATCATGTCGGCGAGCAATCCACCGTGGGTGTCTGCGGGAAGAGTCCGCTCTTGGTGGCCAGTGATGACGTTGTAGTAGAACTTCTGTCCAGTGGGCCCAATTTTGAGCTGCCACATGGATCCCTTCACTCGTTCCTCAGCCGTCGACTCCTTTTCTCTCGCAGTCATGAAGTAGAGACCTTGCTTCTGATGCTTCAGTAACTCCGTGGTGACGATAGGAGCCGGGTCCATTTCAGGAAGCTCATCGGTCTTTCCCATGGAGTCGAAGACGCCCATCACATCCGATCTGATCTCTTCGACAGTGCGGGGAGTGGGGTTGGTGTAGTAGGTAGACGAGGAATGATTGTTGTACTGAGCGAGAGCTCCGGCCAGGTTTCTGGCACCAGGCGCTGGGTTAGGCTTGTTGTCGGTATGAACATTCTCATACCTAACGCCTTTGTCGACTCTATTAGGATGGCGCAGAACAATCTTGAATCTCTCAAAGTGCTTGCCGACAGCCTTGACAAATCTGTACTGGCCGTACAGTGTCATTTCCACGGGGTAGGATCTCGAGATCGCCTGGCCCGGATGCTCATCCGCTTGCTTTCTACGCGCAGGAATCTTGCAGTCCGTTCGGAGGCGTACGTTGGAGTCCAGCAGGGGAACAAGAGCATTGGCTGTATTGGCATCCACATTTCCGATGATGTCGCGCGTGTAGTCGTAGGCCTGGATCTTCTTGGTCGAGTCTCCGATGATTCGTTTCAAAACGATCTTAACTGGTGGCATGAAGTCGGCTCCGAAGATGCTCTGCGTGCCCGGTTTGGCGGAAGGTACCTTGTGGCAGTCAAGGAACCCGGTGAGCATGCCATAGCAGACCTCCTCGGTTGCAGGGTCCTCCACCATGACCACATCGTCGCCCTCCTCAGTCAAGTCCACAGTCTGGGTAGAAACCTTGGAATTCTCCTTCTTGCCTTCGTCTTGCTTTTCCTTCACATACGCACCGAGCATTCCGCTACCGGCAGGCCCCATTCTCTTCTTGTTATCGACGTCGGACTCGGGGTCGGGGGTATCAACCTTTCGCCGCTTAGGCAGGGGCGCCGCAGCGCGATCTTGGACGTCGTTCATTCTCTCGATCATGTTGGCCATTCCGTATGGTGAAATGCCGCCGTCGTGAACAGGAGTTGAAGCGCGCGAGGTGATGCTAGGTGTCAGAGACTCGCTAGTCGTGTCGTTGGGACTCGCGAACTGGAAGACAACAGGATTGTTGGCGGTATTTTGAATTCCTGGCGTAGATCGATTCGACAAGTGCTGAGGTTTGGGTGAGTTGCGCCTCGAGACAGCGTTTGAAACGGCGTAGGATCGAGGGTTTAGTAATGCTTGCGCATTCCACGACTGCGTTTGAGGCTGGGCGTTGATGTAATTTGCTCGGCCTTTTTGTGGGAAAGGTTGTAAGTATTTGAAAACCACAAAATAATGGGCAAAGAGAGGTTGTGATTGTGGCAGAGGTTGGCAGAGGGAAAGAGCAGTCGACCTAGGGCTTGGAGGGGTAGGAAGGCGGTCCATGGCGGGGCTCACTCACCATTTGGCCCGTTTGGCGATGCCATGACTGCGTTTCGATACTGGCGTCTAGTTTGTTATTGTCGTTGTTGTTGTTGTTGTTGTTGTTGTTGCTGTTGTCGTGAGGAAGGTGCTGTTGCTTGCACACGGGTGAAGGGCTTCAGTAGAGCAGTCTGAGAGAGGTGGTTGCGATCATCACAAACGAGAGCGAGATGTGGAGTCGTTGTTTGATATTGGCGTGACAATGAACAGTGGTATTGTAGATAAGTCGACCCCAAATCCAGGAAATATGTGAAAGAAGTGGCAGAAGCAGTAATGCTCCGAATAACGAGTGTCGCTCAAGGGGCATAGATTGAAGGCAGCGATGATGCAGATGGTGAGAGGTGAGGAGAGGAAGGCGCAAGGCTATATCGAGTCTAAGATGAGTTGGTCCGGGGGGTGGTGAGAGTGTGATATTAGAAGAGTCACTTCCACAATAGTAAGTCGTCGAGTGAGTCGAGTCCACTTGAAGTGAGGTAAGGTACTTCGTACTTTGGGCAGGCTCAGCCGGATTCTAGAAACACAAAAGAGAGCCCAGGCGGAGGAGGTGGATGGCGCGAGAAGTCGGGGAAAGAAGGAGGCCAAAGGTCGAGTCAAGTCCGACGCCTATTCACAAGTGTCGTTTGTTCCATGTCATTGTTCTTGCCTCCTCATCAGATTCGTGGCGGTTGAAGAAGTTCTTTGCAGGAGGGGCGGCGCAAGGCGAAATGAAGAGAGCACTTCAAACGAAAAGAACCAATACAACACCCCGGGCGACGGATGGAAGTGCAGGCTGAAGGAGGAGAACAAGATAGAAAAAGAACCCAGGTCGCGGTAAGGTGGTGGTAGGCTGGTAGTAGTGAGTGAAGGTAGTGGTGGTGGTGGTGGTCGTGGAGGTAGGAAAAAAAAGTGAAGGTAGGCGCGGCACATGGAATGTGGTGCAGCAGTTGGCTGCAGCCTTCTTGCAGCTGAGGTCACTCCCTGAGTTCCCTCCGCCTCTCGCAGCGGGGCAGCTGCAGTGGAGACCCGTTGATTCCCGATTTCCGATTAGCTACCTGGAAAGTTCGCACCCTCACGTGGCCACCCTTTACCATCTGAGCGCCCCACTTTCTCCCATCTCAGCCCAAGCCTTTTCCACCCTCTTCCTACCCTCTCCTACCTACTAGGTACCTCACCTACCCTCTCTTACACCTCTTAGGTCCTAGGTACTCCTCGACAGGGCCTCCGAGTGGTTCCCCAGAGGCAGCCTGTGAAAGAGTGGATGATCACTTGACCAAACAACTTTTTTTTCTTTCTTTCTGGACATTTGTGTCTACCTTGCCTAGGTAGGTACCTAGTATCATTATGGATGTTCCTAATCAGGCATATCCTGTTTACCAAACCTGCCCGCCTTACCCATAGTGTCACTCGAATCTACCGGTGAGAATCATACATTTGACACTCTTCTTCGTATTCATCAACACCACCTGAGCCATCAGCGTCACCGCTTTCTCTCTCAGTCCGAGACCCGGCTGTTACTCAACTTTCAACCTCTGGATCTTTCGGCAGTGGTGCCTCGAGTGCGCCCCAAGATAATACGTCCCGGCCCATCTTTGACCTGAGTCTCTTACACGTGTACTCCCTACTCACTGATTCCAAGCTTTGCCCACCACCTCCAGTACAAGCCAATTTAGACTGCTCTCACCCCACTACCAGCCGGACGATGGGCCATAAGAGACTGGACTTCCACACCCATTCTTTTAACCCACCCAACCGGGTTGATCTCACCGTGGCCCTGGGTGCCTCGATGGTTGTCTTGTGTTGATCTGAGGTGTCCAAGACATTTCCTTCGGGGCTGGGTCTCATCGGCGTGCTTATAAACTTCGAACGACTAAATGACTAGAGCCAGCATACCAAGGATATTGTTTGGTAGCACACCGCATAATCCCATGTGAGCGGTTGCATGATTGGCGTTATACAGATGTTATTTTCTTCTCCTTCTCGTCCTTATTGAGACCGTTCCGGGCTTCCTTTCATGTTCGCGTGCTCCCAGATCAGCTGACAATCAGACTTGAACCGATGTATCCACCTTCTTGTGTGCCTGCTCTCCAAGCAAAAGCCGAGGCAGCTGATCCTTCGGCTGGAACGTATCCTTGGCATGATGTGTTCGGCTCCGGCTCCGGGTCCTGTGTCGGCGTCGGGGTGGGGCCTGCTTGCGGTCAGGCGACCTTGACCGAGAGGGGCTCTGGCTCCGTCGACGCTCCAGCAGCACCACGCGGAGGAGACGCTTCCTCATGGGAGATACCTCCACCGTACTCGACATGCCGCCGCCGGCTCCGGCTCGCGAAGACGCTCTGGACGATACCGGCGTCGGCGAGGTTGATCGACGACGGGGTCGGCCCCGGAGCGTGCTGGACTCGCCCGTGCCGCCGTAGTGGGTGGCCTCTAGGTCACATCTCGTGAGGCTACGGTGCCTCTTGCGGCCGCGGAGAGCATCTGATTCGGGAGGGAAGGGGCTCGACGTTACCGAACGAAGCTTGGCAATCGTTTCAAGTTGGGACGTCATATTGATCCACCGAGAATTTGATCAAAAATTAGATGATGGGATGTTAGTGCGAACGTTTTGATGCAAGAAGTCACATATGGGAATGTAACCTGAGCTGCTGTGTAGGAAGAAACTGGGTGTGGGCAAAGGGTGGAGCGGGTTCAAGACTTGATAAAGAATTCCAACTACCAATGTCAAGGGACTAGGCCAGTAGAGGAGAGCAAATCACGAGGTGATGGAAAGATGTGCGGCGGGCGTAGCTGAGGATTTGACCTGATCGGGATCTCGCAACACACCGGGGAGGCTTGACGTATTTGACGTATGAAGATTATTCGGGTTAGACGGCGCGCTTCAATCGTCCAAACCCGCAAGCAAACGGTAATGGGAATCTGTCACTCTGCAAGGGGGGATTTGCCCAGGTTTGATCAGTCACCAAAGAAACTAACAAGACGCGGAGGATCAAGAAATTCGTTGGGATGGGATTGGTCGGGTCGTACAATCCTACCTACGCCATGCAAACGGAACCTTGGCCCGGAACGATCAAGTCAGAATCGAAAGGTCGGGTGATGAATCGAACCAATTCACGGAGGGGATGCCGTGTGGGTGGGGTCCATGGCTGTGACCCGAGAGTTTGGGGGAATTCTGGGGTGACAGCCGTGGCATTTCATTCGACTGAGGAGCATTACCTACTACCAGTAGCTTGGCCACTGGGCTAAGAAAGGTCGGTATCACTTTTGGGTGTGCAGTCGACGGCTTCTGTCCATCTTCCGCGGCATGTCTGGTTGCCTGCAAAGCCGTTAGCTAGTAAAGCGAAGATGGGTATTTGACAGTGTTGATCAGAATGCCATCCACCTGGCTCGATCAAGTTATCTAGGCTTGCCAAGCTAGCGAGTAGGCACATAATATCTAGTATGTCAACCATCTCGTGCGTGCTACTTAGTTAGGCCCCCCTTCGCCTTCCAGAGAAACCATCGACGAGCATCATCCCTCCTAGGTCTGTTGCGGCAAGTTCAATGTGGAGATGCCCAAAACTGCTGGCCGCCTGTGTCTCGCTTGAGAGTGACAGGCAAACGCTGGCACCGCCGCTCTCAGACTCAGGTCTCCCCATTTCATAGGCTTTGGCCAACGTTTGACAAGTGTCCGGCCTGGTATCAGCTGGCCTTCAACGGCACACGTTGGCTGACAGCAGTAGAGGATGAGGTGATCTGAAAGGCGTGAAAAGGTCTTTCTCGTAGTCCTATGCAGCTTTCTGATTCTTCAATATCTGATGAGTTATCTCTGCTAATCAAAAGAGTCTAGCAGCTTCCAAGCTAAGTTGCCTTGAAGGTACTTGATGTAAGATATTACCTAAGTCTATTTGAGTCGGGTAAACACTGCGTCCGTTCCGCTTACCCCAATCGCCGGCCCAAGCTCTAGCACGGGGAAGCTCGGAGGCAAGGGGCCGACTGCCCAGTGCTAAACCGCTAAGGACGCCTAGAACTGGCGACCTCGGTGCACCTCAGGCGCTCTAGAACCTTAAGCAACCTGAAGCTTTTGGGGCAGTAAGGTAAAGGTACATTTCAAAAGGTACCAGGGTGACAGCAGCGCCGGTTGCACCCCAATGACAGCATCGCGCTCCGCCGAAACCACGGATTCCTAACGACACATGCTCGACGACGCGACTCGCCGAGAAATTGCTCTGTGTCTACCACCACGACCACGAGCACCACCATAGCCCTACCATTCTACTTCCCTCTTTTGCTTCCATCGTCAACTTGCTGCCTGTTGTCTCCTTGAAGCCACCTTTGTTTCTGCAGTGCTATCTTTTTTTTCTTCTCCCTGTTGAGGGCTAGACTTCGTCGCTTCCTCCATCCTTAGGCCAAGATTCCGCATTCCCTTCCCTAGTACGATTATCGCATTCAAGCGGAGATACAGCCGATCAACCAGCACCCAAGCCTTCTCGATCGCGAGTCTTCATCCAAAGTCCTGCAAACCAACACACATGGCTCTGACTTCCGGCCCTGCCACTGCTCGATAATTCCCTCGCCCTTTCCTCGCCGAGACGGTCCCTCATCCCTGGCCCACCCCAAAGCCACGATGCCTCGCTCTCGACCCCCGACGACGGGCTACGAGCGCCTCGCTCAAGCCGATGCCCTCTCCTCCGACTCCGAAGACGACGACCCTCTCACACAGTCATATGCCTCCCTCCAGCCGGCCTCGGCCCCTCGCTTCGCACCCATCACGCAACCGCGGCCCCGTTCGGGCATGACGACCCCCAAACCAGCGCTAGCCGGCCCTTCCAGACCTAAGAATCGCCGTCGTGGCGGCAGCAACTCGGGTGTCGACATAAAAGCGATCAATGCTCGATTAGAACGATGGGCCGATGAGATCGCCAGCCGGTTCAAGCGCACAAAGGGGCGCGGCAAGACGGGAGATGATGAACATTTAGAGATTCATCATTCAGTATTCCAAGCTCCCGAGGGCGTCCGGCCCATTACCCCTGAAGGCCTGGCTGCGCCGCAAGATGTCATGTCCAAGTCGCAGTTCGAACAGATCGTGGGCAGTGTCAGACAGGCCATCCTTCAGGGCACGCATCCTCGAATGATCGCACAGGGAAGTTCCGGCAGTTACTTTGCCCGGAATACGGAGGGCAAGGTCGTGGGTGTCTTCAAACCCAAGGACGAGGAGCCGTACGCGGCTGGCAATCCCAAGTGGAACAAATGGATTCATCGGAACCTGTTTCCTTGTTGCTTTGGGCGAGCATGGTATGATACTATCCATACAGTACCTCAGGAAGCTCCATGGCTAATCGCATCGCAGTCTGATTCCCAACCTTTCATACGTCAGCGAAGCGGCGGCATACACGTTAGATTGCCAACTGCGCACCCATATGGTGCCTTACACGGATGTCGTCTGGTTATCCTCAAAATCCTTCCACTATCCGTTTTGGGACCGTCGCAGCTTCTATAGAAAGCAAAAGCCACTTCCAGAAAAGCCCGGGAGCTTTCAGGTTTTCTTGAAAGGTTTCAAAGACGCCAATGTGTTCCTCAGAGAACACCCATGGCCAGACCAGTACTGGTCCGGCTTCAGGACCAACGATCCACATCGCAAACGTAGGAGAAGGTGGGCAGACAACTGCCGGCCGAGCAGTGCGGCAGCCTTGGATGACATTGAGAGCGACGATGAAGGCAGCCGGGAACGGCTACCGCCAGGTCCCGACAACTTTGTGTGGACCGAAGGCTTGAAGCAGTCATTCCGTGAAGAGCTCGAGAAGCTAGTCATTCTAGACTACATGATGCGCAACACCGACCGCGGCCTGGATAACTGGATGATCAAAGTGGACTGGAGCACACAGCAAGTGTCGATCGTGTCGGAGCCACTTCAAATGAACACAGAAACCGCTTCATCGGAAGAGAGCGGACCTCGCCCGGTAGACTTGAACCAGCGACCAGCAGCAGAAAGCCGCTCCTCATACCCTTACAGGACGCAACAGCCCATGAAGGCGTCCAGTCCCAATCCAAGCTCACAAGATCCTAAGATAACGATTGGTGCTATCGATAATTCACTCTCCTGGCCCTGGAAACACCCCGATGCATGGCGAAGGTATGTGTCCCTTTAATGGTCCAATTCTCCTCTTCAATCTGTACCACATGAACAGCAACGCGCGTAGAAAGGAATGCTAACCGCCCATATCATACAGCTTTCCATTTGGCTGGCTGTTCCTTCCCGTTGATCTGATTGGACGGCCGTTCTCGCAGAAGACGCGAGATCACTTCCTCCCCCTCCTGACCTCAACGCACTGGTGGAGCCAGACACAATTGGCGTTGCGGAAGGTATTCCAGCTGGATCCCGACTTTCAGGAAAAGATGTTTGCTAGGCAGATCGCAGTCATGAAGGGCCAGGCATGGAATGTGGTAGAGACGCTCAAGACACCGGATCACGGCCCTCTAGAGCTCACCCGGCGCGCCAAGGTCTGCGTTTGGGACGATCTTGTCGACGTGCCAGTTGCAGTGCCCATGCGGGTAACGTCCGCCGAGATGATGCGCGAGGCAGAGCTCCGACGCTCCATTGACGAGGGCGACATTGGCCAAGCCAACACGTCTGCTGCACCTACCCACCGCGTGGACGAGGACCTGCTCGGCTTCGCTAGCCCCCCGGCCGACATGCCTCATCCGGGCAGGTTTGAGCTCGCTCTAAGCCCGACGGGCGAGGGAGCCCAATCACCGGACGAGATGTCCATGAGCGGTTCGGGCATACTGGCGTCGTCTGCACCGCTAGGTAACAAGGACACGGCGTCGCAACGGCCCAGGTTCTCGGGACAATCGCACCGAGAGAGCTACCATGGCACGCGCGCCCTCAACATGTATTCTCCCGCTCGTCAGCAGTCCCAGCAGCAGCAGCAGCAACGGCGGTACTCCTTCGCGACGCCAGCTGGACGGCGCAACAGCGGCAGCATCGCGCAGCACCTGTATGGCTCGCGCCGGAGCATGGAAGAATATGACGAAGAAGACGACGTTGAGGAGGGCGACCTGGGCTATGCGGCCGCCGAGGGCATGGAGGGCAACCAACGCAAGGTTATTGTGGAGAGGTTGGAGCCGGTGAAAGCCAGGAACCCGGTTTTCACCTGCTGGTGATCCACACCCATCCACTCGGGGGGCTGCATCGAGCAAAACATTACGGGGGGGGGGGGGCGGCACGGAGTTGGAGAGGAGTTGGAGCTGGGTTATCGGTTGGTGGGGTCCCTTTTTCTTTCGCTCCGCCTGCGGTTGTCCCATGCAAGGGAAGGGGTTCCGGGGTGGAGAGGAGGAGGAGGAGGAGTCGAGAAAGTGGTGTTTTCCCCCTCTCTCTTCCTCATTCTTTTTTTGTTTTATTCCCACTTGCTTGCTTTGGGGCGGTTATTACCACCGAGTACGAAATAGGGGAGCCAGGGGAGGAGTTTACTGGGTTCAATTTCGGATCGTATGTCTAGAATAGTTGACTAACCCCCTCCTCTTCCTCTCCTCTTTCTGCGCATCCCACCTTTCAGCGCGTCAGCACAGAAGAGAAGAGAAGAGAAATCATGATACACATGGCATTTGGTGGCGTTTGTTGTGCATTCGTCCCTTAACTTGGCGTGGCTGGGCACATGAGAGAGGGAGAAAGAGAGAGACCTCGAGTCGCAGAGACAGACAACACGAAACCAGACGGCGGATAACAGCCAGAGACATGATGAGGGAGACATATGATGACAACACGACACACTACACAGTATCACACAACACGCGAGGAGAGACGTGGGTCCCCAACAGGCCGCAGAGTCAGACCCATGGTCAGAAGAGGAGACAGAACTCTCAAAGGACATTGTGAGATGAACAAGGGTTGAAGGGATAGGCGCAGCTGTGAGCAGAAGACGAAGGAAAAGCAAAGAATAGGTGAGGCTAGGTATGGGCCGTGAAGTGAGGGGAGAGAGAGAAGGGGGGTTCATACCGCAACAGTTGCATCCGTACCTACATTTGCTATTACTGTTGATCCTTTTTTCCCTTTTGCGGGAGGTTGGAAAGAGGGTTAAGGAAAAAACAAGAGGGCGCGCATGCAAATGACCTTTTTCGGCAACTAAGAAAAAAGGTCCTTTTTTTGGCCCTGGGTTGAATCAGGCAAGGATTTCCAACTTGGCCTTGTCACCTTAGACCTACATATCTGTACCTTTTCGCGCGCCCATCCGGTTCAGGGGATGGAGAGAGGGCTTATGCGCCAACCGGCGAATTCTCGTAATTCCAAACATGGTACCGAAGGAAGAAGGAAGAAGCAAATATACAGAAAGGACTTACCTATAGAAATCCCAGGTGTTCACGGCCCGGCCAGAAGCCGCGAGACACCTTGTAATGACACGTTTTGCAGGACGAGGACGAAAAGAGACAATGCGTTGTGTTGTGCCACCAGAACAGGAAGTGACTGCTCAGGTCACACAATAGGAGGCCTAGTTCGACGGTTGGGACGATAACGGTCCGCTCTCGACGAGTTGCGCCGGTTGTCTCTTGCTGCCAATGCTCTTTGAAGCTTGTCAAAGATAGGTATTCGAATCCTCTCGAGGTTGTCATCCATCGGTCATCAGTTGTGATCCCAAGTCGCGTTTCATGGAGGAAGAATATGGCGGAAGCGGCGCTGCCGCTTCCCTTCGTCGTTGCTGGCCTGGAGGGCTGTACGCAATACACGGTAGGTATGTGTGTGCGTGCGTGTGAATGTGTGTGTGAATGTGCCAGGGTACCGCCCAGCCCGTGATCTGTGCGCGCAAGAATAATATTATAGGAGGGGTGGGCGTCGGTATTACGTCCAAATTCCGCATCGTCGGTAGATGGCAGAAGAGATGAAAGAGGAAAAGTCGATTCATGTGCTCATGGCCGCAGTAAAGCCGCAGTGGCAGCCGCAGCCGCAGCCGCACCTTTCATCTCTTTCCTATGAACACCCGGAAAAGAGAGTGCGGGAGGTAGGACTCGCCGGCTCGCAGGACCGGCACCGCGCGCTCCATGCCTTTTCAGAAGGTCAGCTCGCAACACCATGGTCTTCTAGAAGCATTGTTACCCCGTCCTGGTGAAACGACAGAAACCTGGTCCTTGGATATGCTCTCCGTAGAACCGGGGGCCATTGATAGACGATTGGATCGTAGATGGCAGGCAACGCCGCTCGTCATCCAGGATTCAATAATAGGGGGAACTCAGCTGGGTATCTTTGTATCGCAGTGTCATGGTATTAGTCCGTAAGCTGTGGTCCGGTCAGCAAGACAGGGGTCGTAGGGGGCCGGTTGACCTCGATAAGGGGGACGATTATGCCCCAGCATCCCGTCCTATTGGAACCCGAGAGTACGGTTCTGTTCGAGAGCAAAATGAAGACGGAGGAACGAGCAGGGTGTCTTTCGACTAGGGTTCCCTGCTGGCGGGAATGAATGTGACTCCTAATCGACAGCCAACTCATCCCCCCCCCCCTCTCTGCATGGGAAGAAGAAAACCCGTTGAACGAAGGAAAGAGAACCAGACCACAGGCCAAGTTTCTCTCATGTCGGGTAAAGTGAGTTGTGGAATACTGTGTATGTGCGGATACGCAGATGCATGGTCCGCAACCGTGCAGGCGAGAGGTCACGGTCAACGGCCGCCAAGTCACGCTCCCTTCGATCTCCTCTACAGACACCTGCTTGTTTCCATCAGACTCGTCAAAGTTGAGTGGCTGGAGGGATCATTACACACAGGAACAACCTATTGAGCGATGGGCCGAATGCTCCCCTCTGACGTGCATCGTCTCTGGCAGGCTAATTTCTTGCCTGAATCCCCGATGCAGAGGAGTGTCTTGCGTCAGTCGATAAACAACAGCTACCCTTACTTGGGTAGCTGCTCGGTAAACGCATGCGCAGGGAAACCATTTCGTTCGAGTTGCCGAGTTATGGATCATAGCCCTACTCCGAATTCTATACCGTGGCCACTTGCTAGGTAAGCCTGTGGCTACCTAGCAAGCCATAAGCGTCAATTTGCCAATTGCTTGTCGCGCGGCATCCCGGCCGTTACAATGTATTGAGAGCCGCCCTATAACCGGTCTTGCTTGTTGTAATGACATCGTCTGCCGTCCTCGGGGTCGCCTCCGGGCCATCCGCGCAACATACTCGGCAATTCCATCTCCCCAAGCATGTATTTGTCTGCAGCCTCTCGCACAGCTGTGACTTGGTCTGGGAGCTCAGGCAGGTCTGTATCGAGGCCGGACACCTCTGTCTTACCGCTCGTCTTGATGTCAAGAATGAACGATCAGGGCCGCGGTGGGTTGGTGAGTTGCCTGGCGCCCAGCACAACCACAGTATGTCGTCGTCTCAAAGAGTCTCTCCCTTTGCTTTTTACCCGTCCGCCATGCAATGCATCTGAACCCGTTGGTGCAAGGGTTGCAGAGTGCAGCGAGTACGTGGCCGCCGTGGACAGGCATGGTGCTCCCAAGCACCAGGATGTGGTTTCCCCCGGCAAGGAAGGGTTGTCGACCCTCGCTCCTCGGTTCCCAAAGAGCTGGAACCAGGAGAGTTTTGTGGCTCGCGTCATCGCGCCCTTTCCCGAAACCCCACTGTCCGAGCCAGCAGCTACCTAGTCAGCCAGGCCAGGCTCTCCTCTATGTTAGTTTCAAACCTGCAGAGCGGCCCGCCGAGGGGTTCGTTCGTTGAATTGGCCCAGCCAATTTCTTCTTCCAACCTTCATCAAAATCACCCCCGCCCAGGAAACATTGTTAGCTCAACCTCCGTGAGCTCTGCTGCTAAGAGTGTAACACGCCTGCCAAACAATTAGTCCAGGGTCAGAAGGGATGAGATATTGATGGAAAGGGGCCGAGAGAGGGAGTGAGATAATTAAACCTTCATCAGCACGTACCCGAATACGCCAATGTGTCAAGACGCGCAGCAACACAACCCACCAGCAAAAAGCCATGCCCCTACCTATATTTTGCAGACCGTTGCCTGTCCCGTGCATATTGTACCGCCATCCGACCGAATTATTACCATCATGGTCTCGGGGAGGTGGTGTGGTGGAGGCCTGAGGTCGCAGGAAGCAGGCATGCGTGCTGAGCAAAGTAAAGATCGATGTTTCTGTCTGAGGCGCCCGTCTCCCCTTTCTGGCCGTTGTCGTGAGATACGGGCCTGGCGCGGGTCTCACCTTGCTGGCATCAGTGCAGGTGATTGTCTGCCTTGTGTGTGAGGATCAGACCATGAACTCCGCCTTTGGTCACTGCCCGGCTGCATATGACCCTAGCCTGGTTAATGCCAGACAGGTAAAGCAGCATGACAGTTTTCCCGTCTTCTTGTCGTACGAGATGATTTGCCTCGGACGAGGTAGCAGTCGAGTCGCAACTGTGTGCTCTTGGCCTCCCTTCTTCTATTCGTCTCCGGGTCGTGCAAGTCGCGAATGAGCCTAACGACACCGAGAAGGATCCAAGTCCGTGTTCTCGGGAAATCTCAGCAAGTGGAAATCGCGGGTTATCGAGAGAGACAGCAGAAGTGGTGCCAACGTAATCCCTAGTCCAATTCTGCATCCTATCGGGAGTTGTGCAATGCTGCTCCAGTTCGACCTCCCACCACCTGTAGCTGCTGTGTCTTCATGCTCAAGCCAACGACCGGATCCTTGGGACATGTGAGCCGCTGGAATTTGAGTAAAGCTGCGCGTGCGATGGGAGCGGATCGACCATGTAACCCCTCCTTTGAGTAACGCTCCTTTCTTAGTGAGTTTGGGGGGAGGGGTTGATCAGGAAACAAGGGATGGAGAGCCGTGTTTGCTGAAGAGCTTCCCATAGCCTGGGCACTGGCTGGGGGGTTACAGCAGGAATTCGTGTGTTGGGCCCAGTACTCGGGCCATGCAGTTGGTCTCAAGACAACATCCACCACTAGGCTTTGTCGTGGGTCTGGGTGCTCTAGTTGTAGCAGCAAGCATCGGTATGTTCGCCCGACTCCGGGGTGGCGGCGGTGAGCCGCTCAAAGAAGCTCAGAAAACTCATCGTCCTAGGTTAATAGAGAAGCCACATCCGACCCTTTTGCAGCCTTGTGGGATGTTGGTCTGTGATGGTGCGTCCCGCTAGACAACGACCAGGTCGTTCAGGAAGACAACCGTCTACCTGGCTTCCGGAACAGCCTCTGAAAGGTAAGCTACGGTTAACGGGATCCATGGATCTGGCAACTGGTAAAAGCGGTGTCCAAGTTGCCAGGATGGGTTGGGACCCGCTGCCACACCCGCCTTATACCACTCAATGGCCTGGGATTAGCACGTCTTGGTTGTCTGCCGGCCCCATTCTCGAATTTTCGTGTGTACAGGGGGGTCCGGGGCCAGCAATAACAGCAGAGGACATATCCATGTCACCCGAAGACTGCCTCATCCGCACCGCACCGCGTACCAAAGGGTACCGAACAGGCTCCCAACTTTTCCAGTGAAGGTCATGGTGTACTAACCCAAGATCGACAGCGACGTCGTGGGGTGTAGAAAACAATGGCCGGCCAATGTCGAGTACCCTTCGACTTGACCGATGTCTCCACCTCCGACGTAGTAGGCAGTTAATTTTATGTCTATTAGACACGACTGCCGCCTTCGTGAAAACCCCTGTGATTCGGATATGGCTCCTTTGACGGACTTTCGGGTTTCGTTTGTGGGCAGTGCTTGAGAATTAGTCCTTGCCTTCCGTCCCGTCCTGGATCCCTAGGAACAGCGCCTCGTTGGAGCAACGTAACCACCACATACAAGCTCTAGTTCATCCCAATATCGAATTCCAAAGGCAAACTTTGGACGAAAGACACTCAGTCTAATCGAACTTGTTCGTAACAAGAGTTATACCATTGTGGTTGTCGACATGGCAAGGTATTGCTGAAACTCATCTCCTCTTGCGAAGGATTCCTGTGATCGCTAAACCACTCTCAGTGATCCACAGACAGTTCCGTTGGATAACGCCTTCCTGGAAACAATCACGTACCAAGGTAGAGAGTACCAACGATACGCAGTTGACAATGGAGCATACTTCGCGCCGATAGATGAGGTAGGAGACATGCCGCCCCTGAAGACACCACGCCTTGCTGAGTGTATTTTCCAACCCGGCTGTAGGACGAAGTTGAACGCTTGCAAATGATGCACGTCGTACTCTCCATAGTATTCGAAAATCGCCTCCTTTTTCCACCGATCACCAGGCCCCGGCGAATTCTCGAATGCGGCTTTGGAGCCGGCGACTGGGCTATCGACGTTGCACAACAATACCAGAACTGCGAGGTACGTGCTGTACACACTCAAGTCCTACTCCTTTCGCGATTGTACGATAGTCGGCTTCCGTGCCTTTGACGCGTTTTGCCGGTAGTGGTGGGATGACCGAACCAGCCAGCCGTTCGTATCCATCGCCAACGCGACGGGGTGTCGTCTCCCCCTTCTGCGCTTGTTCATGTGCAGAAGACTCCATGTTTTCTGGTTAAGAGGACTACAGTTCTCTTTGTCTCATCCATATCATGATGGCGAGTGACAGGAACGGATTTATCGCCTCACCGCTCTGGGTGCCGCTGCGTTAGCAGTACTGATTTTGTCCGATAGGTGGTAGCCATCGATATCTGCCCACACATCTGGCCCGACGAAAGCCAGACGCCGACAAACTTGAACCTGCAAGTCGATGACCTTAACAGCAGGTATGTCCCCTGAGGGGTCTAGGGCGCAGGCTGGAGCCTCAAGTGCCCCTGGCTCAGCTGACTTGGCCTAGGTTCACCTTTCCATCGAATCATTTCGACCTCGTCCATAGCCAGATGATGGCAGGCGGTATCCACTCGAACCGATGGCGAGATTACCTTCGAGACATTCATCGCGTCCTTCGGCCAGGTGGTTGGTGCCAAATGGTGGAGATATACTTTAATGCGCAGTCAGACAACGGAACGTTGACTCAAAGTAGGTCGGATTCCCTTCTAGAGATTGAGCCCACCATTGACCGCCTGCTGTGCCAGATCACGCCCTTCGTAGGTGGTCGAGACGATACCTGGATAGTATGCAACCATACAAAGACCCCAGGGCGCCGATGCAGATGCAAAGCTGGATGCAAAGTGCTGGATTCGACTCGGTGGAAACCCAAATGATCCCTCTCCCGACTTGCGGCTGGTCAAATGGTATTGAAACCTCGAAACCGAAGTGCAGAAATTTTGACCTGATTTTCGACTAGATCCGAGGCAGCACCAAATCGGTGTGGCTAATAGAGAAAATGTGAGGAGGATGCTTGCGTCTCTGGCGATGTATCCCATGACAGAGTTCCGAGGGTAAGAGAAGTTTCCTTTTCCCGTTTTCTGCAGTCTTTAACGCTGAGTTCCGATCGATTTGAACTGACTGGCACTGCAGAATGACATCCCAAGAGTTCCAAGTCTTGGTGGCTCAAGCAAGGAGCGAGGCTGATAATCCGGCGTTCAGGGTGAGTTCCCTACCCCTATAATGTTCGTCTCTTTTTTTCGAGTGGGAATGCCTACTGACATTCAGGCCACTCTCGGCGGCTCTTTCTAGGCGTATTTTCCAATGTAAGTGACTCCCAAGTTGTCCAGCCGCCCAATTTCCTACGATTACTGACTTGTTGGCCCTCAAGGTACGTTTGTATAGGACGAAAGGCTCGTCGTTGAGCCGAGTAGATAAGGGCCATATGATGTTGTTGCTTTTTTCAGAGCAAGTTTCGTATGGTGGCGTAGAGCGTTGTTTCCCAGCCAGGATTTGATGGGCTTTTTCTTTTGGACAGGGATTACGATAATGACGATGTGACGGCAGCAAATACCCCGTGTCTAGCTCGCAATCCTATTTGATCAATTCGCTATTGTAGTGCTTGTTTGCTGTACGATTCTTCGGCTTTGGGGATTGTATGACGGAGTTGTGAGAGCTCATCTAAAGCTGCCCTTTCCGTACCCGCATCATTACTGATTCTCGAAAGACAGTCATCGATGGTGTGGCAGCAGATAAGTAATGTACGGCGAGCAAGGTTTAAGTCGCTTTGCAAAGAACGTGGACTCGTTTCGACTGCCGACTGGTTGTTATTGTTATCGAAATGAGTCGGAAGTGACAAGGGGAGACTAGTTGTCGATGACTAGACGGCAAATAGAGGGGTAGAGAACGGAAATGGATGCTGTGGATCAACGAGGATGTTGTTATTCCTGTCTCAGGATAAGAAGCACCTTATGCAAGGCAGACATCGAAGGGAACATGTCCTGAAGAGATAATGTCCAGAGGTTGAAGCCGAAGGGATCAACGTGTAGTTGAAAGAAAGTGAGGCGCATGTGGAGAGCGGCGGAAGCTAAGGCAAGTGCCTTATTGGATGGTGGTGGGAAGGAAGAAACGGGAAAGACGACGGCGGCTTCCCATGCCCATGTTCAAGGCAAGGAAGGTACCTGCCTACTTTTGACGTAGGTAAGTACCGTACAATCTGAACTTGCCTGAGGTGGTGTGAACGTAAGGTAAGTTGGTATGGTAGGGCAAGGTAAGGGAAGGTAAGAACCCCCCCCCCCCTCCACGTTGATCGATTTGGAAGAGACGTCTTGAAGGTGGAAGAAGTGAACGTGTAGGCTCAAGGGGCCAGGGGGATGGCACGAGTTCTTGTTCTTCTACCTTCTCTGGACGGATACCTTACCTTGTTATCCGCTGCTGTTGCTTTATTTGTTCCACGTTGGGTTAGATTGGAGGGAGGCAAGACGCCAGGCCTCGCCAGGAACGCAAGAGGTCTGCATGGGCTTTTACTCGCTACCGTCTCCTCGGGTTCTCGGTGAGGACCGAGGTGGACTGCAGACGAACAACTCACGTCACATTGAGCCTGCACAATCTCTCACATATACACAAGTTACAACACCACCAGAGCTGGGCACATCGAACCCATGTCAGAGCGGAATGGTCTGTCGAGTCGTGGCTTGACTCTTGCGTCCTTGACAAATAGAGAAACGGAATCCACTTTCATCTGAAGATGAGATAATTTTGCTGGCGCCATGCCACATTTGCCGCCTCCGCACTCGCTGCCGCCCTTACAAGTTCCACGCCAGCATCCACGCCAGCGTTCAAGCCAAGTTCCACGCCGGTGAGTGCCCAGAGCCCTTGCGCCATCTAGAATCCCCGGCTTCAGAAACTTCCTCCCTAGCATGATCAGGAGCACAGACATTTCGGCTGACGATTCCTTCTTGGCCGAGTAGATAGATGCTGGGGCAAGCTGCAGTGTTCGGATGCGGATACCGACACTGCCCCTGGAATGCCACAATGCCACAATGCCAGGGACATCAACTGAAGCTGCCGCGATGATGAAGCATGCAACGGTCAAAGTTTCTATGCATGTCGATCCGATGGACGCACAACCCCCTTCAGCTTGGCTGGCAGATTGACCACCGGGGCCAAATCGACATTGGTGGCAGCTGCTGGAACTTCGAACCTGGAACACCCGGTGGATGTGATATCGGGAAGCTTTCGCGGATGCCCCGACCCTTGTTTCCTGCAGCTCCCCTGATCTTCGGCACATCAGGTGATTTGGGCCTCGGGGTTTGCATAGGCTTCGCAATCTCACATTACTTCACAAAAGCTTCAACTGATCCGCGACTTATCACCCAAGACGACCATCGACGGACCGCGTATCCTCATTTATGCGCGCATCAATGGCTTGGAAGTTGGAATACCCGCGAGATTCCCTGAACGCATAAAGTGTGCGACTGATTGTGCCATCCGAACCATCAGGTCTCATTGTACCTGTCAATCTGGCATCTGCATCTTCAGCCAACATGATGGTACCCTCGAACGGGAGAATGCGAGGAAACTACTGCCAATAGTGTATCCAATATGTCAAACACTTTTATTCAACGGCCCCCCCGCCAATGCATCCTCACGGACGCTACTTCCAGACATTGGTGCCACTTCGCGCCACCTGTGGAGGAGAGGATCCGGGGATGTTCCTGCTGCAGTGGACCTGGCCAGAACAGCCAACCGTTGCTAACCAATCAGAAGCTGTCCCGAACATTTATGCATTTTGAGAGCTCCCAGCAGTAACTTTTTTTCTACATGACTGCAACTGACATAGCAATAGCTTGGCGACTGCATTGTACCGCTACCTCATTACTGCCAGAACGACACAAAAACCGTGTCATTTGAGGGGAAAACGTCAACATCTCTCGAACACTAAAGCCTAGACAAACGAAAGTCCTCCCTCCATTCACAATGGCCTCACGAACGTCAGTCCGTCTCGCCCAAGCCCTCCGGCCCTTGGTGCCGGGCTGCGTCCACCCCCTCCGGACGACGATCCGTTTCTACTCCGATGCCGCTCCGGCCCAGCCCAAGCTCCTGGCCACTCTCAAGACCGACCTCAAGACCGCCATGCGTGCAAAAGACGCTCCCCGTCTCTCGGTCCTCCGCTCCGTCCTCTCCGCCACCAACAACGCTGCCAAGACAGACTCCCCCATCGCGACCGACGCCCAGCTCGTTGCCCTCCTCCGCAAGACGCAGCGCGCCACCCAGGACGCCGCCAAGCAGTTCCGTGACGCTGGCCGCGATGACCTCGCCGACAAGGAGGACACCCAGGCTAAGGTCATGGCTGAGTATATTGCCAACAGCGGCGTCGTCGCCGTCACCGAGGCCGACGTCCGCGTTCTCATCCAGAAGGCCATTGAGGATTCCATCGCAGCGGGCAAGAGCGGGCTCGGGGAGGTCATGAAGCTCATCAACAAGGCGACCCAGGACAAGGACCTCGAGGTCGAGAAGAAGCGTATTGCCGAGCTCGTCAAGGAGGCCCTCAAGAAGGATTAGAGGAGGAGAGAGGTTAAGGTTTCGAATCATATTGCTGTAAAAAGCTGTACCAATCTGTACCAACAACAATCGTGTATCATATCTGTATACCCGGAACGAAATTATGGCGAAGAAGAAGGGCGCCTGGGGAGAGAGGAAACATCTCTTCTCTTGGATGATACTGAGACGAATAAAATAATGTCACTGTACAAACATCACGGCACAAAATGCCCCATTAAGTGTACGCATGCTGATACCTCGGACGGGAGCTCAGACCATGGTCAATGTTTGGGCTTAGCAATGAGAGGCACAACACTCGATCCGTGGTCTTGGTATCTGTCTAGCATAGGTTTTGAAGGGCTCAGTCCCTCCGTATGAGCTGGCCCTTTCTCTCTTATCCTCTCTCCCTCTCCCTCTCTCTCACACATGCGCACACACTCCTTCGACTTTTCCGCAGTACTTGAAGCTACTAGGCACCCGCCATTCTTCCCATCCCCGTTGTAACGCCGCCAGAAACGCCCGCAAAGCCATGCGCCATGCCATGAATCTCTCTCTTTGGAAACATTAAAAAGACGTCTTTTAGGAGTGGAGAGAGGGGGGTATGTTTCTTTTCCTTTACGCAACGCTATCGTCCTCGTTTCTCAATCCCGCATACTCGGTCCCCTGGTTCGCGGTACTCAACCTCGCGCAGAGACTCAGCAGGACGACCGTCTCCGTCGCGGCGTAGTGGTTCAGCGCGTCGAGCAGGATCTGCAGGTGCCTGCTGAAGTTGCCCTCCCACTTCTTCATAATCTCAAAGAGGTTGCTCACACGGGCTTCTTGCTCGGCGGCGCTATTACCACCGCCCGCCGATGAAGTCGAATCGTTGTGTGAGGTGCCGCCCGCGCCTGGCCCGGACGAGGGCTTCTGCGTCCTGACGGCCTGGAAGGCGCGCCATTGGTCTGCCGTCATGTTGGGCGGGCGCGTGGCGCCTGAGAGGTCTGGGTCGGCCTTTTCTAGCTCGCGGGAAAGCCAGTTGGAGTAGGTTGCAAAGACTGTGCAGGTTTGCATGAGTTTGGAGTGGATCTGCCCGAGGTTCGCATGTTAGCTGAAGGCTGTACCAGGCGCGACATTAAAAGTGGTGGTAAGAAGGAGAAAAAACATACCCTGAGAAGCTTGCTGTTGGTGAGCATGCACTCTTTCAAGCACGTATCCAAGAAATCCACATGATCCTGCATCAGCTCGTCCACCGTCCGCGTCGGCGTTGTGCCCCCCGGCGCTGTCGCCTCCTGGCCTTCCTCGCCCACTTTGAGCCGGGACATGAACTTTGCCCAGTTGGGCTCAATGACCTCGGCCGTGCAAAAGTACAGCAGCTGCTGCACAAAGACGAGCATGCGCGCGCGCAGCGTCCACACGCGGCGCTTCCAGATCTCGAGGCCGCGCGAGGAGCTCTTGTGCGACCACGTCAGGCCCGAGGTCTGCGAGTACCACGTTGTCGAGAGCTGGGACTCGAGGTAGCGCAGCGACAAGAGGTACCGGAACAGCGCCTGGTACCGCCACACGGTCTTGCGGCTGATGACGAGGGAGACGGGGAAGGGTACCGTGTAGTCCAGCTGGAGCGACGTGAAGCCGATGGCGTTCTTGTCGTTCTCGATGGGCTGCTGGTTCGCGAGCGGCTGCAGCGTCTCGCCTTGCTCGATGCCCGTGATGTTGACGACCCGCTGCAGGGATTTGACGAGCGTGATCTCGTTCATCTCCACCTTGACGTCCTCCTTGAAAGGGTCCAGCGAGACGACGCTGCCCGGCTGGCGCAGCACCAGGTCGAGCAGGGACTGCAGCTTGCCGGTGTTAACGGACTTGACAGGCTTCCGCAACTCGGACGTGCCGAGCTCGAGGAAGTAGGAAAAGTAGTCGGACGGGTCCAGGAAGAAGTAATGCTTCAGCGACCGCAGCCTCATGGGTAGCGAGTGCGTCGTGAGCAGCAGCTGCATGAGGGACTCGTTGGCGTGTGCGTACGCATTGTTGACGTTCTCCAGGAAACGGCTGTCATCAAATGACGTGGGCACGTCCTGCACGACCTTGCTCACATCTACGCCGCCGCATTCCCTGACGACGTTGAGATACTTGCCCGCCAATAGTACCTTGTCCTTGACACCTTCCAGTTGAGGGGGAATGTCGTGCTCCCGGATCGTGTACCGTCGCTCCCAGTACTCGTCCGTGTAGTCCTGCTCCAGCCGTTCTCTCCGAATGCTCTTCTGCTCCTTGACCAGAAACTCGGCATGCGCGTCGTTGATGCTGCCGTGGTGCAGCCACTCGTTGAGCATCACCATGTAAGGTTTACTTGCATCACGCAAAAGCGACGTCAACAGCGCGCGCGCGGCCGGGTCTCCGGACATGGACTCGAGCCTCTTCGTGATGAGACCCAACACGACGCCGCCTTTGCAAATCTTCTTGCCCGAGCCCGGGACCAGGTCGCCGCCCTCTCGCAGCGACTCGAGTATATTCTCAAAGTCGTCTGCGCTATCGCTTTCCTCTTCGTCATCGTCGTCTAGGAGCGCATTCCTCTTGAGCAAGTCGTGCGCCAGGGAGTATAGATGCGACATCATTTTGCTTGTCGGTAATGTGTGGATATTCAAGACATGGAGTGTAAAAGTCTCGTTGGTTAGGAACTGTGTCTCCAGCTGCGCGATCATGATGAGGTAGTCGTGCAAGAACTTCCTGATGGAGGCGCAAAGAGCGTGATTGACGGCGCCAAATTCCTCTCTACTTTGCACGTCGATGAACATCTCGAGGGCTGAATAATACGTCGCCATCTTCAGCATCGACAGCGTAAGGTCTTGCAGACTAGGATCCAGGCCCGGCAGTATCCTGAATGTGGGCCCCGACAACCGGTCCCTCTCCTCATGCGGGTTATACGTCTTTGCGAAGCGGATGTACTGCCCCTCGTAGCCCATGAAGACGAAGAGGAGATCCTCCAGCATCACCGCCTCTTGCGCTTCGAGGGATAGCTCGTTTAGGGGTTTCGGTTGTTGAGGCTGCGGCGCCTGTGCCGCCAACGGCGGTATGGATATTCGACAGGCCAGGGGGGCCGATGTGTGAGGTAGGAGTGTCGCCTCTGGGTTCCAAGGTGCTACAGAGTTGTTTAGTTAGACGCCGTAACTACTCCCAACACCAATGCAATCGCATTAACTAACCTTGCGGAGTGTCAGCCTTGGCCTCCTTGGGCTTCGCCTCAGCCGTCCGCGACTTGGCCTCGCCGCTCTTCCCCTTATCGCCTCCGCCCCTCGCGGGGCTCCTCGTCCGTTGCGTCATGGTCTCGCGCTCCGTCACATACGTCCTCTCCGTCCGCCTTTCCTCCACACGCCTGTCGTCGTGCATCCTGCTCGTAGCCCTGGGGTTCCCCGACGCAGATCTCTTGTGCGAATTGCCCCCAGGCGACGCCTCTCTCTCCCCCCTCTCGCGCTGCTGGTGGTGGTCCCGCTCCCGTTCACGCTCACGCTCGCGCTCCCGCGGCCGCTCTCGTTCCCTCTCTCGTTGTCGCGCATCGCTCCTCTCGCTGCGCTCGCTCTTGAAGCTCGTCTGCCCGCTACCTGTGCCCGTGCCGCTCGCCGCTGCGCCTGCTGCATTCATGCGTGCCGTTCGTGAAGGTCGGTCTTGGTCGACGCCGGCGGCTGAGCCGTTTACGCGCCGCTCATGGGTTGAGACCCTGGTGGTGCCGGACGACATATCGCCGACTGCATCTGAAGTGTGGGAGCCGTCTTTGAGGGGTTTGGTGTTATTCTTATGACAAGACGTCGACTCGGCCGTGATATTTGGAGGGGTTTGGTGGTGTTTTTGAGGTATTCGTTGCTTGGTCTTGCGGTTTGTGGTCTTTGTCTCTCTGCCCCTCTATCGCAGAGTCGCAGTCTTACACTCCGCGCGTGAAGGTGGGTTGGGCACTGCGTACGGTACCTTAGCTATACTCAGGTACTTCAACGCGGTAAAGGGCCATTAATCTCGAGCGCGTCTAGTCGGAAAATCCTCGCGTGTTGTTGACCCCGGTCCCGGATGTGGTAAACCTCCCCTGGAATATTCCGGGTTTAGCGTTCGGAGGGACGGCAGCTGTTGGAGGGGGATCTGGGAGTGGCCAAGATGACCAATCATGGAGCTTCAAGCCAGAGAACAGGGGGCCCGGGGCCCGCTCCAATTGCTGAGGTGCTGGGCCACACCCCCGTGCGCCCCCCAAAGGGAACCTGGCCACTGGAAGCTTACCTAGGTAGTGAGGTGCGGCTGCGTAGGCCAGGTGCATGCCTAACCACGCCTGCCATCTCAGCCTTCCACCGTCACCGTTTGTTACCTGGACCTTCCTCCAAGCTCCCCCTCCATTCATCCACACCTCAATCCAAACCACCCCCATCCACGCAATCCCCGAACCACGACGACCTCAACCCCGACGACGTCCAATCCATTGACCCTACCGACCCGAATACCCCTCATTTCCTTCTAGGATCAACACACACATAACACCGCCAAGATGTTTATGGCAAGATCTGAATACGGTAAAGCACCTCAAACTAAGCAACCCCAGCTTCTCCTCCCCCTCGCCAGAGAGCTCTCTTGTCTAACATATCCCCTCCAATCCAACAGACCGAGGAATCAACACCTTCTCCCCAGAGGGCCGCCTCTTCCAAGTCGAATACTCCCTCGAGGCAATCAAGCTCGGCTCCACGGCCATCGGCGTCGCTACCGCAGAGGGCGTCGTCCTCGGCGTCGAGAAGCGCGTCACCTCGACCCTGCTCGAGACCTCGTCCGTCGAAAAGATTGTCGAGATTGACCGCCACATTGGCTGCGCAATGTCCGGCCTCCAGGCCGACGCCCGCTCCATGGTCGAGCACGCCCGCGTCGAGTCCCAGTCCCACTCCTTCAACTACAACGAGCCCCTCCGCGTCGAGTCGTGCACCCAGGCCATCTGCGACCTCGCCCTCCGCTTCGGCGAGGGCGCCGAAGGCGAGGAGACCATCATGTCCCGCCCCTTTGGTGTCGCCCTCCTCATCGCCGGCTACGATGAGGACGGGCCCCAGCTCTTCCACGCCGAGCCCAGCGGCACCTTTTACCGCTACGACGCCAAGGCTATCGGTTCCGGCTCCGAGGGTGCGCAGGCTGAGTTGCAGAACGAGTACCACAAGGTGAGTCTTTCCTCTCCCCAACCCAAGGCGCTGACACGTTTGTTCTCTCACTTGGTGCCCCGCCGACTCTCTCAAACAAGCACTAACACACCCTATTAGTCCCTGTCAATTACGGATGCCGAGACATTGGTGCTCAAGACGCTCAAGCAGGTTATGGAGGAGAAGCTCGACTCGAAAAACGTCCAGCTCGCGAGCGTAACGAAGGAAAAGGGCTTCAGAATATACACGGATGAGGAGATGGCCGCTGTGGTGGAGAGACTCCCTGCGAACTAAAGGGAGGGGGTCCGTGGTGTTTGAAAGAGGATCTAGGGTGTAATTTTTTCGGTCTCGGCGACTCTGGAAAAAGTGAAAGAATACACTTGAATGGGGGAAGAGGTAGAGAGCGCGAAAAAGAGAGAAAGCGAGAGACCCAGAAATCACCCGATTACGAAACTTGGGAACTTGACGTCTAGACGAATTTCGCCTCCGAAAGTGTATCACTATTGTACTCAACGTGACGATGGCTTCGTGCTTTGGATTTCATCTTTGGTGTGATGCTGTGAATGGGCATAATGTATCTATAAAACTGAGGGCTGTGACGTCTTTCCAAGACGTTACCTAAGTTGCGCCTCCACCTGCTGACGCGGATGCGTTCGTGCTCACGCTTGTATCAACGCTTATGATCGCTCAGAACACTGGCTATGTTCCGTCGGGAGTCGACGTCCTCTTATCCCTCATCCTTGATCACCAACCTCTCCATCTCCTCCTCCACGCTAATCAGACCGAGAGCATAAAACGCCCTCTCCGACTTGGCGACGACGAGCACCGTGTCGTCACTATCGAGCTGCTCGATCCGTGCGCCAATCCGCCGCGGGTTCGACCACACGGACGGCGGCACCACAGTCTGCAGGCTCGGGTCGCGCGCGTACGGCGGACCTCGGCCCATGGCCGCCGCCTTTTTCCACCCGGACTCGCAGCCCTCGGCGATCTGCCGCGCCGACTGCCAGCCTGTGAGGCGGGCAATATCGTGCATGCGCCTGACGATCCAGTGGCGTTGAGCGTCGCTTTGGTACTGTGGACCGTGTTAGCAGGCGTAATACATACGAAAGTTAAAGGGGAATTCGAAGAGTGTTTCTTTGAGGGAGAAAGTGGGCAAAACAAGGGGCAAAGATAGGGGCTTCTTCTTACTTGAATAGCACTGACGAACAGACAGAACGAACTCTCAATCAGCGCCGCGCCAACGAGGGTGCTAATCTCGAGCACATTGCTACAATCGTCCGTCAACCCAGCCGCAATGCGACCAATCTCCATGGCGAACTTGGCCGTGTGCTGCGCCTGTATTCCCGCGGCGATCATAGCGGCGGGCGGCATCTTGGGATGCGCGCGGTAGAGGTGGATGAGGCCCATGTAGTAATTCATCCAGATGCCCGCCACTGAAAAGGTGCGGTACTGCAGCGTGGGACCAAAGGGTGAATCTCGGCGGTCGGCATACTCGGCGCCCAAGGGCTGGAATTCGGGGCCGAAGCGGGATCGGAGCATCTCAAAGGCCTCACGAAGGGAGGTCCACTCGCGCATGGCAGCGTCGGCGGCAGCGTCCGAGTCAAGGTCGTCTTCGTCTCGGGCGTCGGGCGGTGGCGGGGAGTCGTCGCGCGGGGGGCTGAAGCCCATTGGCAGCGTTACTTTTCCGAGGTTGGGGAGCATACCCGGGAACATGGGCGGCGAGCCGCCGGGACCGCCGGGACCCATTCCCGGTGGCGGCCCCATTCCTGGCGGCGGTCCTCCCATCATGTTTGGCGGCGGCATACCCAACGGGGGCCCGCCGGGAGTCCCACCGGGCATCCCTCCCATCATCCCACCGGGAGGCCCTCCTCCGTGCATGCCCGTTGCCATTCCCGGCGGCACTCCCATCCCTGGCGGCGGCCAACTTTGCCCACCTCTCGGTGGCCCACCCGCACCTGGTGGTCCTCCATGTGGTTGTCCACCATCCGGCGGTCCCCCGTGCGGCGGTCCTCCAGGCCGTCCGCCAGGGGGGCCTCCTGGAGGACCAAAACCCTTGAAGGATTTCCGTTTTCTCGGCAGATCCTTAGATGCGAAGCTGCACAGGCGTCCGAGCAGCAGCATGAGATGGTCGTACGTCCCGTATCTTCTATTTGTCAGCCAAGTCGTACCTCACATATGGCGACCATGGGTAGACTTACATGGCCTCAAGTCGGCCCATAGGTGCTCGTGGCGGACATTGCGTCCAGTGCTGGTAATCCATGCTGTATTTGCTTGTAAGCCAACAGACTGCATCAGTATCCAGATTTTCCAAAACTTACAAAGGTTTCCCTCCGCCCAACATGCTTTGATACACATCCATCTTGCAGTACCACCAGTACAAATCTCTTAGATGTTCGTAGTGCTCGATATCGCGGTCTGTGTAGTAGTGTGGAGATGGCTCGTCGTCCTCGTATGAGACGTGCTGGTTAGTAAGCTTGCTGAGGAAGCCGAGATCGAGATCATCAAGGTCGTGGCTCATCATGTGCGTGTTGTCGTGGCCCATGTAGAAAGGGTCCATTGGCTGGTTTTGGCTCTCTTGGAACAGCGCCCTCCTGACCTGTTTCAGCGGCAGAATGTTCTTTGTCATTTGCCTAAAGGGGATCTCCCTAATCAAGAGCCTGGAGCCAAAGAGATGGTTGCACCACTTTGTGTGATCCGAGTTCCAAACCTCAAAGTACCCAAGCAAGAGGGAGGCGGCCAGCGTTGCTGGAGACGTTCTCCTCTTAGGGCTCCGTAGATTCTTTGCGATCCTACGGATGGCAAGGTGATAATGCTTCATGGCCGCTGTCGGCGGTATCTGCTGTAGCTTGGCGATCTGCAAGGCGCCCAATGCAAGCATTGCCTGCAGGAGGGCAGGATGTGTAAATGATATAATGGGAAATGTGTCTGGTCAAAGGTTAGTCAAGGGGGGAAGCTCAAAAGTCGGAGTTCCATCATCTTACAGGTCCAGATGTTGTGTCCTGCTTTAGGCACGGAGAAGTTGTTTGTCAACTTTGAGTGGTCGAAAGGATGTCGCTCGTATAGCGACATGCTTGGCCCCGTGACGTTGATGAAGTGCCAGAACAAAGCAGCAGTTCGCTCGTCATTGAGTGGTGAATTGTTGGGTGTAGGTATGTACGATGTGAGAAT